CAGCAGCATGAATTACTACATGCCGAGACATGAAGAAATGTGCGAGAAGAAATGCGACGAGTAAGTATAACTTTTTTGTATCTTTTATATATTTTATATTTTTAATTTTATTTTATCTTTTTTATCTAATTTTTACAGCGTTTCGCTGGAGCCTCGTGCGGTTCGCATACTTGGAAGACGATACGCATTGACGGCAACGGAATTCAAATTCCTCGAAATCGGCATCAGAATGGATCCGCCGAGTTACGTGGAGATCGCCATAGGAGATCATCGGGGAAAACAGCTATTACTATCTCTTGAAACGTGGAAAGGACTCTACGAGCAACGCCACGCTATTCACAATTACCTGAACAATGACTCCTCCTCCAACAACGATGTGTATAATTGCATAAGTGTCGGGCCGCTAACAGTGCGATTTCACAAGATAAACGGCACCAAGCTCATAAGTCTCGAATCAGCGGACGTGCGCATGATGATGGTCGAATCGACGTTACATCGTATGTTCGAGCTCGATTCATGTATCGAAATAATGTTCGATCGTTTGACGAGGCTCGTCGCAACGGTTGATATCAAATATACTCAATTCTCCAATATTGCATCCACTGTAACGAATGCGAGAGAATTGTCGAATGCGATACGCGCTAGCAATGCCTTCAACATGCACCAACTTGTCGATTGCGAGCTGGTGGCTTTAGTTTTTAATATGTAATAAAACTATATATAATTATGTATTAAATATAAGATGAATAAATACTTATATGTATATATCATGGTGTACTTTATTTGCGCGCCACCCGTTACATACTTTGTGAGATATAATTATTGTGTCAAGGACATTGCATTCAGCGAGAAAAAAATCGATATTTTTATCTTACGAGATAAGACCATCCATGCTGCGGCAGAATCGATAATTTTATCTTACGAGGCGCACGCGACATTAAGAGACAGAAGACGCAGTGCGCGAGAGTAAGAGAGGCGCACGCGACATTAAGAGACAGAGAGAAAGAGATCCAAGCCTGGATTCAGCACGCATTCGAGAGAGAAGACACAGCGCGCGAGAGTAAGAGAGATGCGGCGGCGAGAGAGAGGTAGCGCGCGGCGGCGAGAGAGTCGGCGGCTCGGGCCTGCGGCGAGAGATGCGGCGGCGAGAGATGCGGCGGCGAGAGATGCTGCGAGAGAGAGTCGGCGGCTCAGGCCTGCGGCGAGAGATGCTGCGAGAGAGAGTCGGCGGCTCGGGCCTGCGGCGAGAGATGCTGCGAGAGAGAGTCGGCGGCTCGGGCCTGCGGCGAGAGATGCTGCGAGAGAGAGTTGGCGGCTCGGGCCTGCGGCGAGAGATGCGGCGGCGAGATTTTGCGGGAGAGAGTCGGCGGCTCGGGCGGCGAGGGATGTGAAGGAGAGGAGGAAAAACATTTTTTTTATTTTAATAAAATACATATTTTATTCATTACTTTTTTATTCATATTTTTTTTTACATTAGTTTTTACATATTTTTTCTATAAGGAAAGAAGAAGGGAAACATTTTTTAAATTAATAAAATTTTATTATATTATTAATATTTTTTTTTATTCTTATTTAATATATTACCGCCGGCATTGGCATTACCCGAGGTGTACCGCGTGGAGGTTGCCGGTCGGATTTACACCTCATATGTATGTGTATGTGTGTGTGTGTATGCGTGTGTGTACTTGTACATGTGTTGCAGTAGAGATGAGGACCCCGCGGTTCGTCACTTCCGCGGTATTTAACGACTCCAAACCCTCTCTACTGTGTGTGTAAATAAAAAATAAAAAATAATATATGTAAAATAAAAAATATAAAAATATAAAAATATAAAAATATAAAATATAAAATATAAATATAAAAAATATAAATATAAAAAATATAAAAAATATAAAATATAAAATATAAAATAAATACGGTGACGGCGAGTGAGCGGAGAGAGCCGGCGAGAGAGAGAGAGATGTGGCGGCTCGAGGTAGTGGCATCTACACATAGAAATATAATAATAATAATAATTTAATATTTTATAGATTTTTTTTTTGGTATTTTAATATACTTACAGCCCTGATGGGGCAGTGAGAGAAGGGGTCGCATCACCCATCGCTGTCATCAGACTCGACATCTGTGCATAGAAATATAATAAATTAATATTTTATATATATTTTTTGACATATATATATATATATACTCACGTCCTTGACATGTGGGACAAGCGTTGGCCAGGTAGAACACGTATAGTCTTTCCCGGCAATCCTCGCAACGCAGTTCGGGTACAGCTGTGTACCGCGATGTAGTGTGTCCCTCGATGGTTGTGATGCTCAGGAATCTGCCCCTGTTTCTCACGAAACAGCGAAAGCAGATCCTGATCATCTCCCATGGTGCGACGAATGCCATGACATACGACGCCACAGTGCATACCCTCGCTGTCTCGTCGAGGGATGCAGTGGCGCGTATGCCATACATGCGGGACCTGCACGACTCCCGGACAGCGTTGTCACTATCGTACCCATCTTCATCTTCATCTTCATCTTCATCTTCATCTTCATCGTCATCGTCATCGTCATCGTCATCGTCATCGTCATCGTCATCGTCATCGCCGTCTTCATCAATGGGTACGATATCGACCTCCATCTCCTCAATGTTATCCAGGACGTTGTTCACCTCCCTGTCATACACAGGGTCGTACATCGCACCATCACTGTCGCTGTCGTCGTCGGAGATGGTTATGATCTCCATCTCGTCATCAGGGACGACGACCACCTCCATCTCTTCATCGTCGGAGATCACTACTTCTTTGTCTTTCTCCATTTTTTATCACAAAAACAATTTATTCTCGAGTCACTTATTACGCCGAAATGTCACCGTACTATGACCCGGCAGTGACATCGGTCCTCATTATATATCCCGGTCATCCCTTTGTTCATGCAATGATGCAATTATCTCCGAAAGATGATCTCCGACGAAACAAAAATAGCGGCTGCTCAGTAGTTGTCTATCGACATGTTTACACCTTCCGCGAAGACATATCTACTCTCTCTCTCAGAACACGTTAATATCACATATGTTGTACACCTATTTTATCATAGAATAGATAAATAGGCTGCCGACAAGAAATCTGGCGATGATAATGATGATGATGATGATGATGATGATGACGGTTCTCTCCTATCTGACTCCTCCTCCATTTCTTGGTCAGAATCATTTTCGGATGATTGTGTTTTGCATGACACCGATGGTGAAGGCATGTCCATGTAGCCAAAATCATAGTTGTCCACAGTGAAATAATCGACACAATTTTTGTATCGACGTTGATAACATGCGACTCGCTTGTGTCGCTTAGACGTTCTGGTGCATTTAGATAAATCACCAGCCACTCTTACAATGTCTTCATGCGTTTCCAGGAAATAGGCAACATCTCTTGTATGCGGTTTTCGCACACCAAGTTCGCGATTTCGTACATATTGTACAATTGAAGTCGCCGCTTCACGTTTATTACAAAACGGGTTATCTTTTTTTTCATTGTGACAGCATACCTCGAGATGTCTATACCATCTCTCGGCAGTCTTATAACACCCCTTCTCATGACACTCTGCATGATTTTGCGGTGTGCTCTCCATTTTTTCGATGTCTATCACTTTTTCACACTTTTAACCTCAGCCTATTTTTGCTGACATTCGCTGCAATCCCTGATCATGGGTGTTGGACCGTCAATGTGCGTTTCCTGCCACGGTTGATTGTAATGTTCACGACAGCGTCGATAGGTTTGAACCTCAGGATCCACCTTAATGTGCTCCGGCAGTTTTTCCCACAAATGCTCTACAAATTGTCCACACTTTTGCAGTAAAACACTCTTAGGAATATATTGTAACTGTTCGGCACTTAAACTGAGAATGTCGGAAGCACTTGATAGTATTACAAACATTCTGAATGAAGCGTGCGCTCGCCAGTGGTACTATGGCCCGGCAGCTGCATCGGTCCTCATTATATATCCCGATCATCCCTTTGTTCGTGGGATGATGATGCAATTGTTAATTCGCGAGAAATATTTGTGCGATATCTTATCTTGGATTTTCAGAGAAAATTTAGATATCGCTGATAATTTTTAGAAATACATAGATAAGGCCGCCATTTCATTTTACCCCGTCGGATCGACACGTTGGATCGGATTAACATGTCGCAACCTGTACGGATCAACCCGCTTGATTGTCGGCAAACCTTTTGTTCTTAATAATTCGCAGAATTATCTTATCTTATCTTCGGAGAAAATTTAGATATCCAATTGTCGGCGCTCGATCCAAGCCTGAAACGGCGGCAGCCATTCGTAGAATTTTTATCTTATCTTGTTTATGAAAACTTAGATATCGCTCAAAGACGCCGCTTATCTTATCTTTGATACCTTACAAAGACGCCGCTTATCTTATCTTATCTTGTTTATGAACATATCAGGTAACATGATCCCCTTATCTTATCTTGTTTATAAACATATCAGGTAACATGATCCCCTTATCAGGTAACATGATCCCCTTATCAGGTTATCTGATATGTTTATAAACAAAAGATAAGCTTATCTACTGATAAGACCCCCTCCCCTCGTGACGTCACCCCCCTCGCCCCCGATTCCCCCCCGCCCCTTACCCCCCCTCATTGCCCCCGGGTTAGAACTCCCCTAGTATACCTACTAATCGCTACTAAAGAAAAAAAATCATTTAGTTGAAAATAAATATTGTCATTTTTAGTGTATATATAAATACGTTTTCTTGCTATTCTTTTATGATTTTAGTAATTTTTAATAAAAAATGTAAAGCTAAAAAATATTGTTTATATTTTCTTTTATGACTATATTTTTAATAAAATGTAAAGCTAAAATATATAAAATATATAAAATTTTAATTTTATTTTTTAATATTTCGGTTAATTCACATCTAGTAATTCGGCATTTATCAATTTCAATATGTATGCACTATTTTCATAATATATGGTAATAATATATATTTTTCTAGCATCTCCTTATGGCAAAACCAAAAGGCAGCGTTGGACAGAAAAAGAAAAAGAAACAGTACTTCAAGCATTTTCCACACATATGAAAAATTTAACGCTACCGTCTTTACGAGAAATTCAAGAAACTAAAAAGAAGTATAGTTGTTTATTTAATCGGACATCGCCGCAAATAAAAACATGGATCCATAATAAACAGAAAGATCTACGACAATATGAATAATGTCATTCTGGTAATTGCAACTGCTTTGAATTCTTGTTTATTTCATTAGATAATATTTTAAAAAATGTTTTCTTATCATTTAATTAATACTTCAAACATAATACTTCAAATTTATTTTATATTCTTTCAAGATGTCAGTTTTCGACAAAATTTACACCGATAATGAAAGTTATTGAAAGTTGCAAACAATATAATTGTAGCTTTTAATTTTTTATGAATTTTTTGTTTTGTTTATTTTGAAATATTATTTTTGTTTTAGAAGCATAATAGCATGCTACATATAAAACGATAAAATATAAGTATAATACAATACAATAGTTTGAAAAAGAATTTAATTTGCAAATATATATGTATACATATGACCTCTTGTGTATCATAAGACTGCTATTCTATTGTAATTTATTTATTTTTCGTGATACACACACAAGACGGTATTGTGGACATTTTGGTGACTAACTGTACTTTTCTATTATATATACAATATTATTTATTGTATTACAATATGTATATTATATATAATAATTATTATATCACAAATGATATATATACATATATATATAGATAATATGTTACATATAAGTAGGTTACATATTTATCTTACTTATAGCTTTTTATTATTACAACATGCTCATTTAGCGAACAGATGAAGATATTTATGTTCTTTGGAGGACTTAGGTTAGTGCGGACTATTTCTAAAAGAAGATAGCCTCAGTACTCTTAGTTTTAGACCAATGGGTGCTGGAACTGTCCTTAGTCGAGGACAGAGTCCGCATTGGTCGACGTCCTTGATCGAACTTAGACCAATGGGTGCTGGGACTGTCCTTGATCGAGAACAGAGTCCGCATTAGTCGACGTTCTTGATCGAACTTAGACCAGTGGGTGTTGGGACTGTCCTTATCGAGAACAGAGTCCGCATTGGTCGACGTCCTTGATCGAACTTAGACCAGTGGGTGCTGGGACTGTCCTTGGTCGAGGACAGAGTCCGCATTGGTTGACACCCTTGATCGAACTTAGACCAGTGGGTGCTGGGACTGTCCTTAGTCGAGGACAGAGTCCGCATTGGTCGACGTCCTTGATCGAACTTAGACCAATGGGTGCTGGGACTGTCCTTAGTCGAGGACAGAGTCCGCATTGGTCAACGTTCTTGATTGAACTTAGACCAATGGGTGCTGGGACTGTCCTTATTGAGGACAGAGTCCGCATTGGTCGACGTCCTTGATCGAACTTAGACCAATGGGTGCTGGGACTGTCCTTGATCGAGGACAGAGTCCGCATTGGTCGACGTCCTTGATCGAACTTAGACCAGTGGGTGCTGGGACTGTCCTTGGTCGAGGACAGAGTCCGCATTGGTTGACATCCTTGATCGAACTTAGACCAGTGGGTGCTGGGACTGTCCTTAGTCGAGGACAGAGTCCGCATTGGTCGACATCCTTGATCGAACTTAGACCAATGGGTGCTGGGACTGTCCTTAGTCGAGGACAGAGTCCGCATTGGTCGACGTCCTTGATCGAACTTAGACCAATGGGTGCTGGGACTGTCCTTGATCGAGGACAGAGTCCGCATTGGTCGACGTCCTTGATCGAACTTAGACCAGTGGGTGCTGGGACTGTCCTTGGTCGAGGACAGAGTCCGCATTGGTTGACATCCTTGATCGAACTTAGACCAGTGGGTGCTGGGACTGTCCTTAGTCGAGGACAGAGTCCGCATTGGTCGACGTCCTTGATCGAACTTAGACCAATGGGTGCTGGGACTGTCCTTAGTCGAGGACAGAGTCCGCATTGGTCAACGTCCTTGATTGAACTTAGACCAGTGGGTGCTGAGATTGTCCTTGGTCAAGGACAGAGTCCGCATTGGTCGACATCCTTGATCGAACTTAGACCAGTGGGTGCTGAGACTGTCCTTGGTCGAGGACAGAGTCCGCATTAGTCGACGTCCTTGATCGAACTTAGACCAGTGGGTGCTGAGACTGTCCTTGGTCGAGGACAGAGTCCGCATTGGTTGACATCCTTGATCGAACTTAGACCAGTGGGTGCTGGGACTGTCCTTGGTCGAGAACAGAGTCCGCATTGGTCGACGTCCTTGATCAAACTTAGATCAGTAGGTGCTATCTCCTTTTAAGAATGGAGTCCGCACTAGCTTAAATCTTCCAGAGAATATCTTTTGGTGTCTCCAGATGAGCATGCTTGTAAAATAAAGAGATGATTAAACTATAAGTCTGGAAGATAAACGCGTTATAATAAAGTAAAAGATAGTTTAATTACTTAAATATTAATATTGTCATACAACTCTGAAATTCAAATCACTTGTCAATACTTAAAGTGTTTATGTTCATTAAATCGCTACTAACATTTTCTTTTATTCTTTTACGAATGCATTTTTCTTTTTACGAAATTTTCGTGATTGAAATCTAGAGATTGTACAAAATTGACTAGTTGTATATAATTATTTTTTATAGAGAATTAGTTATGCAATGGATTTTACAAAAAACAAATTCATGCTAATAATACATATATGTGCAATTAGCTTATGTTTAATTTTGTTTGCTTAAAATGTATGTTTTTTAAGACTACACTAAGCGCTTTGATTTAACATCTTGGTTTTAGGGCTCCTGTATACTCGTCGCAGCCACGTCAGAGCCACGTGTTGACGTCAGAGGCGAGAAATTTCTTGCGGAATATTTTTAAATAAAAAGATTTCGATAAAACAACACTACAAATCTCTTTGTACACTTGTAAAATATACCGAAGACTAACCTTCTCTCTTGATAGTCAATCAGCAGCTGTAAAATAATTGAAACATCAGACTTTGTCATGCAGAATGATTGCACATGTGCAAAGACCAGATGGACTGGATCTGATATTACAGTCATTTTACAGCTGTTGATTGATTATAATGGGAAAAAGCTAGTTTTCGATATATTTTACAAGTGTGCCAAAGACGTTTGTAGTGTTATTTTATTGAAATATTTTTTTATTTAAAAATGTTTCGCAAGAATTTTCATCGTGTTTTTTCGCCTCTGCATGATGTCACGATTCCGACATAATCGGCGAGTATCCAGGAGTCTCAACTTTCAAATTTATATAATATAATATATTAATATATGTGTAATTTTTTAAGTAATTATAATAATTTTAATAATTTTAATTTTTAAAGTAATTATAATTATTCAAATTAAATAGGTATTTAAGTAGATAGTTTTACAAAAAATGTACGCAAAGATTATATGTAGACGACACAGATGTATGCTAAGTTTTACTGCAATTTTTTACATCAGTTTTTTCTGCGAATTGTATTTCGAGAATAGCGACCAGTATATTCGCAGTCTTAACATCTACTGTATTTATGTTCCATAATTTTTTTTTCATAAATTGTATTTGTATTTCTTATAATCAATATTTGCATTTGTATCAACATACGTATTTTTTCGAATTATGTATTGTGAATAACAGTTAATATTTACATTAAGTGTTTAGAATGTTCTTTAATGCATTTCAACATTCTTTGATTGCATAACAACAACTAACCATTTTTGAGATGTAACTAATAAAAAACCTATATTCTAAAAAATTATCACAATGTTGTTTTATTGTTGGTCTAATAAAACTCATTAACATCACACAAATGTACATTATGTACATATTAGAACAGTAATTCTAATATTGTACATTTTTGTGTACATTATGTACACAAATGTATAATATTAGAATTACTATACTACAATACTTTCTGTATTGTTTTTCTCTGTCGATCTTGTTTCAAAAAATATATTTTAAATATTTTAAATATCAGTTTCTATGTGTGACTATGACAATGCTTTACTGTTTTTGTTTACTCTAATTAAAATAGGTATTTTTTAGTTTTTCGTGTGTTTGCATTATAATTTCATAGATTTTCTATAATTTGATAGTAACTTTGTTAAGTGTTTTAAATTTTTTTATAAAGCGTTATTTTAACTTTATTATACATAATATGTACACAATAATCAAATTTTATTCTAATGAGTACTATGTATGTAGCTTTTATTATATTACTATATATAAAATTATATATAAACAAATTATTAGTTTATATATGAAACCATTTACATATATAAACTCATAATTAGTTTATAGATATTAACAATTACATAAACTAACAATATATATATAAAATTATAAATAAAAATATAGCTAAAATTACATACGTATATATATATATATATATTTATCATAAAATTTGATTATTGCACTCGTATTATAAACATAGAAATTGAAATAACGTTTAAAAAATACTTAACAAAATTAGAATGTAAAATTATAGAAAAACTATATAAATGATTATAAATTAATTATTAGTTTATATTTATAAAAATCAGAAATTATCATGATTAAGTTATATACATATACATATATATCTCTGTTTCTCCATTTCGCTTTCTCTTCCCCCCCCTCTCTCATTCCATCTCTCTTTCTCTCTTTCTCTTTTATGTACACGCCGGATTGTGATAGATTTCATAATAAATTAAGCAGTGTTAATGATAAACAACATGGTAAAGTTTAAATTAATCTGTAGGCAAGTTGCAAATGACAAATATTTTTCGGTGCGGTATATGTCGCGGCGCATTAGAGGCGAGCGAGGAGAGACGCGTCATATGATACCGCGCCGAAAAATATTATCACATTGATTTTTTGGCAATAGGAAAATGACGCAAAAATGATATATATATCTCTTATGTACATATAAAATCTGGTAATACTTTATTTTTAATTATTTATAAAATTACATTAATATTGGACAGTGTATTTATACATATAACTTTCTGGAGAAATAAATTTGTATCGCTATGATATTTGTAATAATTATATATATATATATAAAATATATTTAAAGATTTACATTATTAATTATTACAAATATAATTATCTTAGTGATACAAATTCATTTTTCTAGGAAGTCATATACACAGTTATGGACATATTTAAATACACAGTCCAATTTAATCGTAAGATTGATTAATTGACTAAAGAAGTATTATAAGATTTTTATCTTTTGATACAGATCGATATATTCATATGATACATATAATATAATTTACTGCATAAATATAATACAATATACTGCATAAATATAATACAATATATACATAAATATAATATACTGTATTTAAGTATGACATGATAAAGCAGTGTCTTTCTGACACATTCATTGAATGTACAAATTTCTTAATTAATATTCTAACGCGTCATTGTATTTTTTTAAAATACGAAACAAAAAAGTATTTGTTTAATGTCGTCAAAATAAGAGTCAATTTAAACCAGTTTAAGTCATTTAGTTATTTTTAATAAAAAAATCAATCATATTTTATCATATTTTATCATATGTCGTATATTTTAGTTTCTTATTTGACATATTTTTTTATTGTCGTCAAAATCGCCAAAAAATAAATATAGTGTCGTCAAAGTATACAATGTCATCAAATTAGTCAATCTTCTGTTTCGGGTTAGTTTGACGACGTCGCCAAAGTATACGATTTATTGATAAAATTGTGACGACCGTCGTCAAAATAGCCAGAAGTCGTCAAAGTGTCCAATCTGTACCGAAAATCGTCGTCAAAATATACGATTGACATATATATATGTATATATGTAATTATATGTATATATCTTATGTAAATACGATATTGAGAAAAAATCTATATTAAATATTATATAATTTGTGCACAACGGATAGCGGGAAAGGAAGGTCGGAAGCGAAACGATAGAGAAGTACTGCACTCGACACACGCGTAACGTGAACAAAAATTATATTTAAACTAAGAACAACAAAAAATTACAATTGTTTAAACCGCACAAAAATAGCCAGAGAATTAAATGAAAAGAATAAACCACAAGAGTTAGCCGAGTCGATAATTATTAACTGAATGTTCCGCAAGCAACGGTAATTAGACGAGAAAAACGAAAAAGACAAGCGATCTTTTTCGTAAAGTATAAGCACACTCTTGACGCGACAAGCAATCGGAAAAGAGCACCGCGATCACGAGAGAGGAGGTTTATATAGGCCCGTATTTCTAGAATAGTCTAGAAAGATTTTCTTAATTTTATCGTTCGGCTGAGGACGAAAGAGCGTTTAGTGTAATTGTTTACTTTCAGGAAAATAGTCGTTTTGTTATTATCGGGAACTAAATTGTATCTCCTCTCGCGCGACCGCGGTGTTTACTATTATATGAGATTTGACGAAAGCGCTTTCTTTTCGCAGGCGCGGGGTATACGTATATCTGTGCGGCCGAGCGCTATTTGAAAATAATATTAATATAAAATTAAGTATAATGCATGTTGCATGTGAATGAAAGGCCTACATGAATTTTAATTAATAATGTTTTTAAGACTTTTCAGCTTTTTTGACGTTCGATTCTCGAACATTCCGCCCGCCTTGCAGTATACTGCAATCGAATTAGAAGCTAGAGCGTGGGGGCGCGAGCTTGTTCACGCGTTCGCGCGTAAAGCACACGTGGAGCGCACGTGCTCCTTTTTTTTTTTTTTTTTTTTTTTTTGACTCTGGGGAAACCTCATGGTACCATCCGCCTCCGGGTAGAGGCGGGGGTTATGTGGGACTCCCTGCCCCGCCTGGCCGGCCCGCGCCTCCGCCTGGCCGGTCCGCCGTAGCGGGCCGGAGAGTCGGGATCGGCGAGCCGGAGAGCCGGGACAGGACCTACCGCACTAAAACCCCAGAGGATGTCCTTCACGGGCGTTATACAGGGGACGGCCAGGATGCTGGTATCCCATGCCGACTGGCCGCCCGCCCGCCTTATCCCTCCTTGGGAGGATGCCGCGGAAGGCGACACCCTCCCCCCGTCATTGTACGGGTTCCTCGCGGTTGCGGCGCAGGGCGACATCGACCCCACGCCGCGCCCTCTCAAAGAGTTTGAGGGGCGGAGCCATGGCTCGAGAACTCCCGCTCGAGCCATCGCCCCTCACCCCCCCCCCAGTGTCGCAACCCCCGGACCACCAAGAGGGTGGTCCAGTTTGGCGGTTCACTGAAAGGGCCCTCATCAGGAGGCTTCTCTCAGAAGGAGAGAAGTCCCCCTTCCGTGGACGGTTTTGCCCTCCCACCGGTGCTCTATGGCTCCCGGTGAGAGGGCCCCACACGTCACGTCCCGTCCTTGAGAGGGGCCCAGGCGCCCCGGACGGGAGGGCAATGCTCGCCCGCCAGGGACACGTGGCCCCCCCTCATTCTTGACCCCCCCGGTTGCGACCTCCCTCCGCCCCGTTAGGGGTCAGAGTTCACCCGCAACCGGTGCGGCCTCTTCTTCCCGGAGGGTGTGGGGGGGGAGGGGAGCGCCTAGGCGCTCCCATGTCCCCCCGGACACCCTCATCCGGCGTCGACTGTCGACGCCGGCACGTGGCGGGCCCCCCGACCCCCAACGCCGCAGACGGCCGCACCCGTGGGCACGACCGCCAGCGACGGAGGGGAGCGGGACGGCACGCCCCCTCCTTTCGACCCCGCCGGAGGTGCCGTCAGGCACCCCGGACCCCCGAGTCGGTGCCTGGCCGGCCGTCGGAAGTCCACGCAAAGCGGACACCTAAGGCCGGACAGGCACCCCACCGCCTTGTGGCCAGATGAGCCTCAGCGGTAGCAGCGGCTACCCCTGTTCACCGTCGAGGTGCACCGGCGCCATGTGTGCCCAACACACAGGCACCGGTAGCACCTCGGCGCCCCCATGACGTTGGCGACAGTCGCCTCGCCGCCAACTTTGCCCCCTCCCCTTTTACTGCCTCCTAAGGCAGTCTCCCCCTCCCACCGGCTCCTTCTCCTTTCTCCCCCTCCCCTCTTTCTCCCTAACACTTTTGCCCATGTCCCCTTTGTCCCCGTCTTCCCCTTGTCCGTCATCGTCTCGTCCGTCCCCGTCCCCGTCTCTGTCTCCGTGTCCGTTCCCGTGCCGACCTCCATCCGGCACTCCCCCCCGAGAACCCCCCGGGCCGTCCGGGCCTTTCTCCTCTTCCGACCGGCCTCCATCCTAGCGAGGCGCCTCTCAATCAACTCCAGCCGATCCGAGCCGGCAGCCAGTCTCGAGGACATGTCCTCGAGCCTGGTCGCCAGCTCCCCCGGCAAAGGAGTCTCCTCGACAGACGCCTCGCTCACCTCCTCTGTCTGGGTTCCCTGGTCTTGGAGCTCCCTTCCGCAACCAGGGACCATTGCAGCGCACCTTGCCGCCTCCTCCCCGTACCGCACGCACTTGCGACGCGTGAACTCGGAGGCGATCCACGCGAGCTCCTGCGCCCAGAACATTGCGGACTTGGCGTAGGCATTCGCCCATTCCATCGCCGAGTCCGTGTCCTCCTTCTGCAGGTCCTTACGGACAGACCCGATAAAGTCCTCCGTCTTTTCCTGCAGGCCCTCCCATCCCTGGACGGCCCTATGAAACAGCTCCGCAGTGGACATATTGGCGCCCGCCTCATTCCACCACGGAGCCACCTCCTCCGCATAGTCGAGGCCCGGCAGCATAGGCGCCGGACTCTCGACCTCAGGAACCTGCGACTCCGTCTCCATCGGAGTCGCAGGCCCCCCTCCTCCTACTCCACGCCCGTCGTGTGATGACGACGGGGTGGGGGCCGGGACTATACCCTCCTCCCCGCCGGGTCCTGACATATCCGAGGCTGCCTGAACCTGTACGTCCTTTTTCCTCGGTTTCCTTCCCATAATATGTTTTGTTTTCGGGGTGAACTCCCCTAGGGCGGTGGGCCTAGGCCCTTTTGGCAGCCGCCCACTGCCATGAGGTGTACCTCCACCGGAGGTACCGACCACTCTTAGCACCCTTCGCAAGGCTAATCCCTTGCGAAGGGTGAGCCCCCCCACCACGGCAAGGTGGTGGTCGACGGGGGGGAGCGCACGTGCTCCGCCGGATTTAGGTAAAGGAATGCTGAATCGATCAGCTGTTTATTCTCGAGTGTAATGGTTAGTAGCGTGTAGGCTAAAGCGTGGCGCAGACCGTGATAATTTCGATCTTCGAGAAAATATGGCGTATAGTGATAGTGTATGTGTCGTGATTGTGATAAGAATAGTGGAGCGATGAGAGGGGTATAGGGATGAGAAGAGAGGAGCAACGAGTAGAGTGAGGTGATGATTGACGTGCAAGTGAATGTGAAGCTGGATCAACGAAGAGTTTCAAGACAAAAATTATGCGAAGCGTGCCCTTGAATTACGGTGAAGCTTCGGAGCCGTCGGTCAGAAATACTAATTTATTCACGGGTCGCGTTAAATTGGTGCTCGCGGTGCGGACGTCGACTACGCGAACGTTACCGTCGGAACCGGGGTGCAGTCGCGTTATGCGCGCAAGCGGCCACCGTGTGGGTAGAGTGATCTCGTTCCGTACTAGGCAGAGTCGACCGACGCGAGCCTCCTGATTAATTCGGGACCATTTCGGTCGATGGGCCAGCGTGTTTAAATATTCGTTGACCCACCGAGACCAGAAATGGTCCTTCATTTGTTGCAGGAGCTGCCACCGGGAGAGACGCGCCGACGGCTCTTGTTCGAGCGACGGCTCGGGGATCGTCGCGAGAGCGGAGCCGACCAGGAAGTGACCGGGTGTCAGCGCTGCTAAATCCTCCGGGTCGTCAGACAATGGCTGCAGCGGTCGGGAATTGAGGCAGGCCTCAATCTGGGCGAGTAGGGTCGCCATCTCTTCATAGGTGAGGGTTGCTTCACCTATGACTCGCCGAAGATGATGCTTCATGGCCTTCACGGCGGCTTCCCACAAGCCGCCGAAGTTAGGTGCCGCCGGCGGGTTAAAATGCCACCGGATTTTTTCTTGGGCGGCACAGGATGCTATGCGGCGTCCGTCGGCACTGGCGGTGGAGAACAGTTGCTTTAGCTGCTTGTCGGCTCCCCCGAAGGTGGTGCTGCAGTCGCTATACAACGAGTGGCATACTCCTCTCCTGGCGATGAACCGGCGTAAGGCGGCAAGGAAGGCGTCGGCGGTGTAGTCAGAGGCGGCGTCGAGGTGGAATGCCCTGGAGGCTAAACAAACAAACACAACGATAAACCCTTTGGTCGTCTTGTGTCCACGGCCCCGTGTTGTTCGCATCCAAACCGGTCCGGCGTAGTCTACGCCGGTATGCAGGAACGGCCGGCCTGGCGTGACTCTTGGAGCGGGAAGATTTCCCATCAGTGGCTGAGGAGTGGCGGCCCGCCACCTTGTGCACCTTACGCAGCGGCTGATGCGGCTCTTCACCAGCGAGCGACCGCGAGGAACCCAATACTCCTGGCGAAGAGAACACAAAGACAGCTGGGTACCGCCGTGCAGCGTTCGCTTGTGGTGATCGTCTATGATGAGGCAAGTGTAGTTCGATTTGCTTGGTAGTATGTTTCAGGCGCCCGCCGACGCGTAGGAGCCCCTTGCTGTCCAGAAATGGACTTAGCTTTAGCAGGGAGCTTCGCGACGGCAGGGGTTGCTCCCTTTGTAGATGCCTAATTTCCTCTTTGTATGCTGCAGCCTGGACTGTCTTCAACCAGGAGATCCGGGCTTCCTCGATTTCGTCGGCGCTGATCAAGCCGAGCTGGCCGTGCTCGTGGTGGGGCTGACGATGGATCCGCAACCAGCGACGGCACCACGCTGTGATCCCGAGCAATCGTTGTAGCGAGGAGTATCGCAGCAGCATCTCAGGTTCGGTCCTCAGTTCGGCGATGGTGGAGACGTGGGTGCGGACTCGCCTCTCTGGGAGGTCATCCTCTGGAAGCTCCTCGCTGTTGGTCGTCCAAGGGTGGCTCCCGGCTGACAGCCACGACGGACCTTGCCACCAGAGTGAGTGATTCTCCAGCTCGCTGGGGTAGAGTCCTCGGGAGGCGCAGTCCGCGGGATTATCTCGGCCGGGGACGTGATGCCAGTGGGCGCCTGGAGTTAGCGTCTGGATCTCGCTCACTCGGTTAGCCACGTAAGTGACCCACGACGAGGGGTGACCCCGAATCCAACCGAGCGTCACAGTGGAGTCTGACCACAGGTGTAGAGGTGCCTTCTCTGCTCCAATAAGAGGGACGACATGAGCGACCAGTCGAGCGAGAAGACAGGCGGCCGATAACTCTAAACGAGGTAAGGATACCTGCTTCAATGGAGCCACCTTGGTCTTCGCAGCCAACAGCGTCACTCTGCTACTTCCGTTGGTGTTGGTTCGCAGGTAGAGGACGGCGGCGTAGGCGCGTTCGGAGGCATCGGCAAACCCGTGAATTTCCTGATGGGAGTCCGCTATACTGCCTAACTATCGAGGCACACTCAGGTTTTCCACTGCAGCTAGCTCGTCCTGGAAACGCAGCCATTTCCTCGCTTCCTCGGTTGGCAGAGACACGTCCCAGTCAAGGCCCAGTAGCCAGATCGTTTGGATGTTGATCTTGGCCAGCACAGTAGTTGGAGACAGCCAGCTGAGTGGATCAAACAACTTCGCCGTCAAGGAGAGGACCGATCTTTTGGTGACCGCCGAGAGGGTGATCTGATGAGTGGCGAAGGCGAAGCGATCGTTGCACGGTTGCCATCGAAGTCCGAGAGTGGAGTGACTCTCTCCGGGCAGCCACCATCTGGCCTCTTGTCGAAGACGGTCGTCGGGCTCCACTGTGTTCAGCAATAGCGAGTCGTTTGCCGACCACTTTTTCAGTGAAAAGCCGCCCGCCTTGCAGATGTCAATCAGCTGTTGCAGCATGACTTCGGCTTCCTCCATGGTCTCCGCACCGGCCAGGATGTCGTCCATGTAGACGTCGCTCAGCAGGATGAGGGCTCCTTTTCGGTAGCGATGTCCTTCGTCCTCGGCCAGTTGGCGTAAAGTGCGGATCGCCAAATAAGGAGCACAGGATAAACCGTAAGTAACGGTACCTAGCCAGTACTCCTTGATTTCGTCGTTGGCGTTCTCTCTCCACAATATCCTTTGCAGGTTTTGGTCGTCAGGGTGCACCAGTATCTGCCTATACATCTTTTCGATGTCCGTCGCGAAGACGTAACGATGACGTCGCCAGCGCAGCAGGATATCGGCTAGCGAAGGAAGCAGATTTGGCCCAGTTGAGAGGTAGTTATTGAGGGAGTCTCCGTTTGGCAAGGAGCTCGAGCCGTTGAAGACTACCCTCAATTTTGTGGAGGTGCTGTCTGGACGCAACACACCATGATGCGGCAGGTAGCAGGCACCTCGATGCGATTCAGCAGGTTCTGGCGCAGGCATCATATGGTTAAGGTCCTTGTAATTTTGCATAAAATCGACATACATGCTTTGGAAGTCGCTCTCTTTCTTGAATCTTTTTTCCATATGATGCAGAGCACGACTTGCGGCGCGTCGAGTCCCCGACAGGTCAGGGATAGGCTCGATTGTTGGCAGCCGCACGATGTACCGGCCATCTGGAGAGCGAGTATGATGTCGCCGGTAGTGTTCTTCGCACTCCAGTTCGGCCTTGGTGAGGATCGGAGATGGCCGGCGAACTTCCTCCTGCTCCCAGAACCGCCGCACCAAGCAGGTGATGTCCTCCTCGATTTGACAGTGGTGAGTGGAAACACGTTGGCCGGGCGCCGTCGAGTTAACGGTACCCGAAAGGATCCAGCCCAACGAGGTTTGTTGCGCTACAGGCTCCTGAGGACCTCCCTTTTGTAGGCCCTGGCAAATGATGGTCCCATATACGTCGGCTCCCAACAGGATGTCGACGGGATCCGAGGAGCTGAATTCCGGGTCGGCGAGCTCCAGGTCCTTCAGATGGGTCCAAGCGCTCATACGGCTGTGGCATCCTCCGGAGAACAAGGTAAGTTTCGGCAGCACTAACGCGTCGACGAGGGTGGACGATTCACCGCGGCACGACTGTAGGGTAAGTCTCACCTTCCCTTTTGATACTTCGGTCCTTCTTTCTCCGACTCCATAGACACTCACGGCGGCTGCTATTCGAGGGAGTCGTAGTCGCTGCGCTAGTCGTTCCGAGATGATGGATGATTCGGATCCCTGGTCGATTAGGGCGCGAGCGGACTGCCAAGATCCGTGGCAGTCGAGGACGCGGACCCTGGTCGTGGCGAGCAGCACCGTAGCGGAGGAAGAATGTGTACCTTGGGCCACATGTGAAGTCGTAGAGGGCTCGGCTTCCCGGAAGGCGTCGTGAAGCGAGGAGTGATGTTGACTGCCACACGCTGTACACGTCTTCTTCGAAGCGCACTCCGAAAACTGATGGCGTCCAAGGCAGTTTGAGCAGAGTTTGTGTTCACTGACGAGCTGTTTGCGAGCCATCGCCGTCTTGCCCTTGTAGTCGCCGCAGAACATCACAAAGTGGTCCCCCTGACAGATGGAGCACCGGCCCCTGGGCTTCTCTTTCGGGTCTTGCCTTTTTACGTAGTGGCTCCGAGTTGACTTCGAAGGGCTGTGGCTGCCGCTTTCGTTCCTGGCCGGATACAGCGCCTCCAAAGTATGAAGTCGGCGTTCTATGAAGGCCTCCAGCTCGGAGTAGGAAGGCGGATTCGTCGTGTGACTGATGTCACTCTCCCATTCTCGCCTGGAGCGATTGTCGAGTAGCTCGACGACTAGGTGGACGAAGAGGTCTTCCGTGCGGTTTATTGGTCGATCGATGCTCTTTAGTGAGCTGACCGTAGTTTTGACCCCGTGGAAAAGTCGCCTCAATTCAGCGGCGGATTCGCTCTTCATCTTGGTCAACATCAAAAAATTGTTGAGATAATTACGCGTCAGTAATCTTTTGTTTTCATAATAGTCACTCAGCGTCTTCCAGGCAATGTCGTAGTTATCGTCCGTGGTGCTGAGGTTCCGAATGAGCAGATCAGCGTCACCCTTTACGCAAAGCTTTAAATAATGCAGCTTCTCCACAGGTTTTGCTGCCTGGTTCCTACCGATGATTGATTGGAAAAGATCTCGGAACGAAGGCCAGTCCTCGTATTTTCCGGCGAAGGTCGGCGGCTGGATTTTCGGCAGCGCTGTCCAAGGAGCGGAAGCCGTTGTTGCGATCGAGGTAGAGCTGGCTGCCTGCAGTTGAATCTGGAGAGCACTCTTCAAGTCGAGCATGAGGCCCTTGTTCAGCAGGTAAGCCTCTTCGCCCAACGAAGGGATGTCTTGTTTTGCGTAGACATCGTGGCGTATTTCGTCCACGCGATCGGCTAACATATCGTTAATTCCGTCGAATTTCTCCCACAGCTTCTCGAGATTTAGAAGCCGGGCCTCCACCGCCCCGAGGGTGATATTGGCCTCGCCGAGCTTCCTAAGGTTCTCGTACGCGCGAGAGATCTTGCCGTATAATACTGTGGCGGTGGCAATGATTGCCTTAGTGTCGGCCATCTCTTACTCTGTCTCTTTTTCTTCAGAAGCACTGGTCACCGACACTGATGCACTATCGCTTCCGTGGCACCGGATTCACAGGAGGTTCCGGAGGATCCGGCTCGAAGAACCAAAAAATGTGCACAACGGATAGCGGGAAAGGAAGGTCGGAAGCGAGACGATAGAGAAGTACTGCACTCGACACACGTGTAACGTGAACAAAAATTATATTTAAACTAAGAACAACGAAAAATTACAATTGTTTAAACCGCACAAAAATAGCCAGAGAATTAAATGAAAAGAATAAACCACAAGAGTTAGCCGAGTCGATAATTATTAACTGAATGTTCCGCAAGCAACGGTAATTAGACGAGAAAAACGAAAAAGACAAGCGATCTTTTTCGTAAAGTATTATATAAGCACACTCTTGACGCGACAAGCAATCGGAAAAGAGCACCGCGATCACGAGAGAGGAGGTTTATATAGGCCCGTATTTCTAGAATAGTCTAGAAAGATTTTCTTAATTTTATCGTTCGGCTGAGGACGAAAGAGCGTTTAGTGTAATTGTTTACTTTCAGGAAAATAGTCGTTTTGTTATTATCGGGAACTAAATTGTATCTCCTCTCGCGCGGCCGCGGTGTTTACTATTATATGAGATTTGACGAAAGAGCTTTCTTTTCGCAGGCGCGGGGTATACGTATATCTGTGCGGCCGAGCGCTATTTGAAAATAATATTAATATAAAATTAAGTATGATGCATGTTGCATGTGAATGAAAGGCCTGCATGAATTTTAATTAATAATGTTTTTAAGACTTTTCAGCTTTTTTGACGTTTGATTTTCGAACATAATTAGTTATAGTATATTAAGTATTATTAAGTGTGTTGCATGTTAAGCTTTGTTAACCAAATGAGAATGAAAAGAGTTTTGTAATTATTTTGACTTCAGACTAACAATAAGAATATAAGATATATAGTTGCCCAATGGAGTGGATAGTAGTACATTTTATAGAAGAAAATTTAGTCGAAGCTGTACCAGTCGCATGGGTGCATGATGATATGTGTTATTGGCCACCATGCACTGGCAAAAATTAATTCATTCTGTCGCAGTATGTGAAAAACCAGTATTCGGTGTATGGCCATTATTTAAAATTCGAAAAGTGGGAAGTGGACGTACCTACCCAGTGAACCAAGTAATATAGCAGCAATGTAATGGCAATGTAACCAAATATAACAGGTTATATTACCAAATGTTACATGTAATTTACATGTAAGTTACTTTTTCCGACTCAGCAATATAACATGTTATATAACGTGTTATCTAACCATTACATAACAATTAATGTAACTGTAATATAACAAATATGATAGTTGTTATATTAATGCAATATAATAGTAGCTATATTTGTAATGTTACAGTTATATTGGGGTAATGAGCCTGTTACGAAAGTTGAATAAAAATAGATCTCTAAAATCTCTCTTCTCGTGTGTGAGCGTTAAAATATAAATTTACTTACCTCTTGTATCCTGCTCGTATTTTCTTTATTCATTATTTTTTTCTTTCGGAAATCTTGTCGGTCGTAGACGTGCGAGATAACAGCGTGAACTTCGACGATAACATAAGAATGTTGATTTTAATATATACTTACCTAGGTAACGATAACGTAAAATATTTATATAATGTAAAATAATATTATAATATAATATTATAATATATAATATTATATTTTATAATGTAAAATATTTTTATCAAGTTCTAATCAAGTTAGAAAACTCATTCTCAAATTATGAAAATTACATAACTTTATTAAATTTTTTGGTATAGTATAGATACATTATTGTTAACATAATGAATATAGTACAGGTAATCTATTTATCAGTTTTATATAAATATTATAAATATATATATAATCTTTTTAAAATAAATTATATATTTAAATTTTATATTAATGTAGATGTCAATTAGTATGTGTCATTCAAATTTATTGTGCGTTTATCATTAAAAAATTATTATATACACAAATATATGGGTTATCATTGTCTTATTCGGGAAATATATATATATCCTAAGTGTAGACAACTAGTGACATAATTTAAAAGAATTTATATTTATATCGCATATAGTTTGCATGCAAAGCTTTTGTTTATGATATTAAAAATAATGAGATAGCAATAACATTAACAATTTTCTTCACAGATAGTGGTATTTCTATATCCATATTGATACGACAAGGTTCCATTTCATACTTTCTATGTTTGTACTTTGCAATTTTCTATAATATTTATATATCAGACTTATGTAATAATAATACATTGAAATTTATCGGACAAACTTTTACATGACATTTTATATTACACATATATATTAATTAAGTCTTTTATGCTTTGAATATCCCAGAATACACAAATATCTAAAAGAATCTTAAAGAACGTCTCAAAGACATCTTTTAGAAAACTTACAATGCATTTTGTCTCTGGTTATATTAAATTTTATGCCATTTATAAGGCATAAAGTTGTGATGTAAAATTTATAATGTTAACACTTTTATTGGCTGAAAAATTTACACTGGGAAAATATAAAATGCTGTAAGACATAGACATATATTGTTTTAGAATGCTTTGCTTGATAAAATAATTTCTTGTGTCATAGCTAAAAATGCATGATGTATATCACTGTTCCCTGCGTTGCAAAATATCTGACAGCATGTTGTTTGATTGTAATTCCAAATTATCAATTTCTTTCTATTGAGTAACACCTTCTGGACAACATGAAGCATTATACCACCAAGGCACATTAACAATCCTATAGAGTTAAGGCCAGTCATTTGATCACCTTTCAATGCAAAGGCCAATGCTAATGTACATATTTCCTGTAAGGAACCAGAGAGAAGAAATAGAAATTGAAACATTGATTATTATATTTAATATTACTGAATATTATATTTAAATATACAAAATATGTTTGTGAATCATAGTCTTTTTATAATTTATTAAAATTGTTAGTGTTTCACTGACTGTGAAAACAAAACGTGAGACATGTCATGCGATATGAGAAGAAATAATGAAATGTGAATGAATGTTATCATTTACCTTAAATACTCCCGAGATTGACAATGTCAGACTAGAAGTGTAAGTAACAACTAAAAATTCCATCACTTCCATACTAAATGCTAAAATGGCACCTGCTATTACAGCACTTGCAGTTAACAAAATACTACCGATATCACTCCAATCGGTAACTCTAATAATTCTACTTCCTAAAATTTAATTTAATCTTTTCAATATCGTAAATAATAAAACATGCAAACATATAACTAAATCATTAAGTGTTTAACAAAAATTTTTTATTGCACTTATATGAGAAAGATGTCAAACTAATTATAAAATTTTAACAAATAAAATCATCAAAAGATTTTAATGCACGGTAATTGAGTTTTATTGTGATTAAAATTGTAATAAGATAAATAATATCTGGAACGTTTCTGCATTCACTTTTACAACGAAAACAAATAACATTCTGTTTTAATACATGGTAAGATAAGATAATACTTATACCACACGGTTACAGATATTGCAGGTAATAACATCCAAGGTTGCATATAATACATCATATCTATCGGATCGTGGAGACCGAGTTTGGATCTTTGCATAATGAGTTGTGTCATGGTTCATCGAATACCACTTGCAAACAAAGCTAAGAGACACAATAAAAATCCGAGAATACCAAATTGGGTAGATTTATAGGTGAACATTGCTAATCCTCCTGCTATCATCACCACTATCCCTACTAGAGACCATGACTACAATAAACGATAATTATTATTTGCCTGTTAGAAGGAAATATACAAAAATTCTGATAAATATATAATTTAATTAAAATTACATAATTAAAAAATTCCAATTAAAAACAAACCTTTTTCTCCAGTTTAAAGAGAAAAGAAAATCCAAGAATAAATATAATGGTGGTTGATTTGGTCATGGTGACCTTATGAAGAAATTAAACTGTATAATAAATAATAATGAACACTTTGTTTTATTATATAATTGCCATTATAATATTATTTATACTTACAAAGATATTGAAATTAATGAAAGTGCCCAATTGGATAAACCAATATTCACACCGCTGTCCATGCCAGATATCATTAACGAATAAATTATATTTTGCCATGGTAAATTTATCCGTCTGCCAGTGCAACATCTTCTGATGCAGCGTATTAATGCGGATAGTATAAACTTTATAATCAAATGGCAAACTACTACTCCAAGTGAAAAATTAAATCCCTAAAAATATTATAACAATTATTAATAAACTTATATGTTTTCTTAAATATGTAGAAAGAATTTATTTCTATAAAGCAATATTTTTTATAATAATTAAATAATTTTAAGTTGTATATAACTAAATAATAATAAATAAAAGCAAGTTATTAATTTGTACATGTAATTACTCACATACGTATTATACAGCCATGGATTATAAAATGTAAGGCCTATTGATAAAATAAAGTAAGCAGAGATCAATAAACACACTTGGTATGCTTTCCTCCAAAATGTGGCTTCTGGCTTTATTACATTTTGAAATCTGAAACATTTTGCGGCAAATATTCTGATGTTTCTACATCATCTCTAGCAATTTGATATTTTATGTGCGAACGTGTCATATGAAAAAAATTATGAAAAAAAATTATGTATTTATAAAAACATACCGTTTTATGAAGCTTTATGCATAAAGATATCATTAATAAATCATATTGCAGGAATTGATAAGTATATAAATTGTATAATATAACAAAATTAATTACATCGTCCATACGTCATTCACATCACGTTATTCTGAAAACAAAAATGAAGAAATTAAGATATTATAATCAAGAGATTATAATCGGCAATAAAGATGAAATATCGGAAATTTTTAATCGCTCACCTTGACTTTAGCGTAAGATAATGCAGTTCGACGAGAATATAACCTGGAAACAAGTGCGATAGTGACAACTGTCACTAAAATCGCCGTCTGTTGTAAAACGTGAGAACTGGACATTTCAATACTATGCATCTATTGCATGTGTTGTGTACGTGTGATATATGTGTGCGCATGTGTTGTATACGTGTGAATACGTGTAACACGATACTACTATGTATGCGTGGTCGATCGACTTGCATTTATATATCTCGATCCTCTGGTGATATCTTTAATCCGCGATGCCGATTAATTCCGTCAGCGTTTACTTCGTGAGGGGCTGTTATTGCATTATTTGACAGTTGTATGTATCGAGGGGTTAGTGTAGTGATAGTAATGTATAATAAAAGATTTGGTGTATTTAATAGTTATAAAATCTGAAGAATAATTGTTTATTTATTTTGTGCTTTAGTGGTTTTGACTACAGTTTCTCTCAATTTGGTGTATTTAATAGTTATAAAATCTGATAAATAAGTGTTTATTAATTTTGTGATTAAGTGGTTTTGACTACAGTTTGTCAGTTAGAAAGAGAAATAGAAATTTATATCAAGGTATGTTTGAGAAATATACATAACTTATGTATGTAAATTTTCTATAATCTATACAAAAAATTAAAGGCGTTATGCCTCTCATTATACTTTAATTATTATCATTTATAACTGTCTTCTGTTCTTCAATAATTCTTCAAGAAATCTTTCATTCAGGAAAGGAAATTCCTGTTCTCAAGAGAACAGGATAGAAGAAAACTGAAATAAACAATAAGATTCAGAAAAGGAAATCGAATACCTGAAGAAGCAGGATAGAAGAAAACTCATAGTATATATCTTTTTCATCTCCCATCTCCTTTTCTCCCTCCTCCCCACCCCTCTCTCTCTCTCTCTCTCTCTCTCTCTCTCTCTCTCTCTCTCTCTCTCTCTGCTCTCTCTCTCTCTCTCTCTCTCTCTTTCTCCTCTCTTCTCTCTCTCTCTCTCCTCTCTCTCTCTCTCCTCCTTTTCGTCTCTCCTTTTTCTGTCTCTCCGTTCTCTCTCCGTTTCTCTCTCCGTCTTTCTCTCCGTCTCTCTCTCCGTCTCTCTCTCTTCGTCTCTCTCTCCGTCTCTCTCTCCCGTTTTTTCTCTCTCTCTCTTTCTCCGTTTCTCTCTCCGTCTCTCTAACCGTTTCTCTCTCCGTTTCTCTAACCGTTTCTCTCTCCGTTTCTCTCTCCGTTTCTCTCTCCGTCTCTCTCTCCGTCTCTCTCTCTCCCCCCCGTCTTCCTCTCCGTCTCTCTCTCTCCGTCTCTCTTTCTTCGTCTTTCTTTCTTTCTCTCTCTCCGTCTCTCTCTTTCTTCGTCTCTCTCTCCGTCTCTCTCTTTCTTCGTCTCTCTCTCCGTCTCTTTCTTTCCGTCTCTCCCCCCCCTCCCTCTCTCTCCTCTTCTCTCTCTCTCTCTCTCTCTCTTCCCTCTCTCTCTCTCCCCTCCTCTCTCTCTCTCTCTCTCTCCTATCTCTCTTTTTCTCCGTTCTTTCTCTCTTCTCTCTCTCTCTCTCTATCTCTCTTTTTCCGTCTCTTCTCCGTCCTCTCTCTCTGTTTCTCTCTCTCCGTCTCTCTCTCTGTTTTCCTCTCTCTTTCTTTCTCCGTCTCTCTCTCCGTCTCTCTCTCGGTTTTTTCTCTCTCTCTCTCTCTTTCTCCGTTTCTCTCTCCGTTTCTCTCTCCGTCTCTCTCTCCGTCTCTCTCTCTCTCCTCTCCGTCTCTCTCTCTCCCCCCCGTCTTCTTCTCCGTCTCTCTCTCTCCGCCTCTCTTCTTCGTCCTCTCTCTCTCTCTCTCTCTCTCTCTCTCTATATGCGGGTGAAGAACAAGATTGGTTACAGTTTAAAAACTGAGAGAAATACGGCAGTCAAAATAATTAGAAAGAAAAAGAAAGAATATATGAGAACATGATAGATGATAAAAAAATGATCCTGTATTAATGTGGAAAACTCTAAAGGAAGTCATAAGAGGAGAGACTAGGGGTTCGAAAGAAATTAATAACATAGACTTTGAAATATTAAAGAATGTAGAAGAATGTACGTTAGTGAATAATTTTAATATATTTTATATACAGAGCATTAACGATATAATAGAATCTATAGAAAAAAGAGACAGTAAAAATACAAAAACCATTTATGTTATAAATAGTAGAGATAAAATGGAATATTTTAAGTTGATAAATTTAAAGAAACTTGAACAAATTGTTATGGCTTTGCCAAAGAAAAAGGAACAGATGAGGGAATATCTAGTGATATATTAAAATGAGCTTTCACGTAATAAAAATGAACTATTGAAGATAATAAATGATTCATTATTAAAAGGAGTGTGTCCGGAGGGATGGAAAACATCTACTATTGTACCAATTCCTAAGGTAGAGAAACCAAAGAAAGCAAGTGAATTTAGACCAATTAATATATTACCAATTTATGAGAAAGTCTTAGAATTAGTCGTAAAGGAACAAATAGATGAATACTTACATAATAATGATATTATATCAGAGCATCAATCAGGATTTAGAAAATACCATTCGTGCGAAACAGCGATACAAAGCGTCATTGATGATTGGAAGTTAACAATTAGTGAAGGAGAAATAGTAGGAGTAATATTCATAGACTTAAAACGGGCATTTGAAACGGTGGATAGGTCAGATTGTTAGAAAAATTAGAGCAATATGGAATGAAGGAATAGTGCTAGAATGGTTTAGAACATATCTAAACAACAGAACGCAACAAGTCAAATTTAACAATCAGTGGTCAGAACGTCTTAGAACGGAATACGGAGTGCCACAAGGTTCGGTACTAGGACCTCTACTATTTATAATATATATAAATGATATAATCGAAGTATGTCCGGAGGGATGCAACATAAAAATGTTTGCAGACGATACGCTTATATGTATATGTAAGTGGAGAAAGTAGCGCAGATATAGAGATAAAAATGAATATGGTTTTTAATATAATTGAACGCTGGATGAATATAAATAAATTAAAAATGAATGCGGATAAAACGAAATATATGGTAGTTAGAAGTATTCGAAAAGAATTGAGAGGCAATACTATTTTGAAATGTTTGGATGGAACTAAACTAGAACGTGTTGAAACTATAAATATTTAGGTATAATTATTGATGACAGACTACGATTTCAAGATCATTGCGATTATATGCTTAAGAAATAGGGAAAAACTAGTTTTTTAAACAGAATAGGTAACTTCGTGTCAGCCTACACTAGATGTATTGTATATAAGTCCATAATAGCACCTCATTTCGAGTATTGTGCCACTCTATTAGTCGGGATGGGAGAAACGCAGTTGAATAAACTGCAGGTAGCTCAAAACCGTGCCATGAGAGTCATATTGCAATGTAATAGATATATCAAAGTTGAGGACATGCTGCAGCGCTGCAGTTTATGTCCGTAAGGCAACGATTATATTATAATGTACTGTATTTATTTTTAAAATACTAAATAACATGGCATCGGTGGCGTTAAGTAATAAAATAGAAATAGTGGGAAAAGAATGTGATAGACAAACGAGGCAGGCCGGAAACATAGTACTAACATTGCGTAAAAACGAGAAGTGCGCAAAAAAGCCTGTTTTACGAAGGAATAAAATGTATAATGCGTTACCCACCGAGATAAAACAATGTGAGAATTATATTAATAAGAGACTGTTAAAAGAATATGTGTTAATAATGTATAGTAATTATGTATATGTAATAGCTGTGAAGCTAATAAAGATCAATCAATCAATCAATCAATCATCTCCTCTCTCTCTCTCTCTCTCTCTCTCTCTCCCTCTCTCCGTTTCTCTCTCCGTTTCTCTCTCCGTCTCTCTCTGTGTTGCTTCTTTCTCTTCTCTCCGTCTCTCTCTCTCTCTCTCTCTCTTCTCTCTCTCTCCTTGAAGTGGAGAAGACGTGTGTCACATCGCTTCGTCAAAATACTGAGTTTTCACGCGGTAAACAGTGGAAAAGAAGTAAATAAGTTATTCAAGTTACGCTGCCCATAGAAATGGGATAGCTATGAAA